CAAGAGCAATCCTGACGCAATGTGAAACTTCTGAGGCTTTTGAAGTAGCAGATAGCTTTCATGACATGTTCTTTGTTAGAGGATTTGGGGCAAAAAGTACCAGGCACAGTTTTTTTGTTTGGTTTTTAAAGTTGCTCCATTTATCTTGATGTGGGTGGAATAGCTGGAAAGCTCCGACCCAAAATGTGTATCCCACTGGGTCCTATGCTAGTATCTTACTGAAAATTACTTCTTTCCTCTCTATTCCCCACTTTGTTATTTATGGTAGCTTCTGGGACCAATGCAAATGGAGCAAATCCAGGGACAAACAGGGACATCTTTTTCAACCTCCTTTAAGGCCTTCCTTCAGTCTACAGGAAATTATTTAAATGCAAATTGTAATTCTTCTTCTTCTTCTTCTTAACACAACAAGATGAGTCCACAGCAGACAAGATCACTGCTGGCTGTTGCATTGGATCACAAGTTGGACTCTTCCCAAGTGTCTAGCACTGTGTGATGTATCGGCGAATAATGCGTGCAGATCCCAGTAAAGTGGCCTTTTGCAGCTGGCAGATGGTAATTTTGTCAGCGCCTATTGTGTTTAAGTGCAGGCCAAGGTCTTTAGGCACTGCATCCAGTGTGCCGATCACCACTGCGACCACCTTTACTGGTTTGTGACAGAGTCTTTGCAGTTCGAGCGTTAAATCTTCATGTCATGTCAGCTTTTCCAGTTGTTTCTCTGCAATCCTGCTGTCACCTGGTATGTAGCCGGGGGGAGGGGGGGCTTGAGGGGCTTCAGCCCCCCCCCCCCCAATTCTCAGAAGGCCTTACTGGTACAATATTTTAACTTTTATGTTTATTCATATCATGATCTGATCACCATGCTCAATATATCCCATATGCATGGGGGTATTGGGACAATTAATACAAAAGGTTTGCTAGGGTAGACCCTCTTTCACTCAGACTCAGCCCCCCCAATCAAACTCAGCTCCCCCTGAATCAAAATCCAGGCCAAGGTCTTTAGGCACTGCACCCAGTGTGCCGATCACCACTGGGACCACCTTGACTAGCTTCTTCTTCTTCTTCTTCTTCTTCTTCTTCTTCTTCTTATTATTATTATTATTATTATTATTATTATTATTATTATTATTATAGTGGATTATCTGGGATCACAAACTGGATTATATGGCAGTGTAGATAGAGCCTAAGAGAAACCTGTTCTGAAGAATGACAAGAAAACCTTAATGTGGGATCATCATAAATCTGGGCCAACCTGAAGAGTCAGTCCCCAAACAACAAAAGGTCCAATGAAACAAATGCACATTTCATCTTGGATATACAACACCAGCTTTCCCTTCTTAGTGCTCTTGAAATGTGTAGGACGACAACTTCCAACCTTTTCCAATCATGGGATTATAACAGGCTTGACAGAGTTTGTTCTAGCACTAGATGTTCTTAAAGCCCATCTCTTTCCGCTTTAAAAACGGTGATACTGAAATAACAGTCCTGCCTGCCTCCCTTTCACTTCTTTTCAAGTAAGAAGAGACAGAAATGATGTTGGCGACAGCTCCTCAAGGTGACAAAGAATGATTTGAAGGCCAAGCCGAAGAGGTTAGCGAACAATAAAAGGAAACTTCGTTCAGATTGCACTTGACAGCCAAAGCCATTTTTATCATTCCTGTGAAGGAGGACAATCTTTTTGGAAACTTGTGATTTTCTATTCTAGCCAAAGTTCTGTTATTCAAACAGTCGCTCCGGCCCCAATTACTTCCCTAGACATGAATCATGGGAGGAAACCTTGAGATCTGCGGTGGAGTGACACACAGCCACAAAGTCGCTTGAGGTGGCCTTGAGGTAGCGGCGGAACAAATTGTTCAGATAAAGCTCTGGGTGTTTGACATTTTTACTTCCACTTCTTTCCTGGAAGAAAACCTATCAGTAGAAGCCATCTTCTTAAATCCATTTGGAGATGCTCTGCATCATCTTGCCTCTGAAGGCAGGTGAAACAATCAGAGCTTTATGGCTGAAGTGGTGCGTGAAACCAAAATGGGATTATAAAGCATCTTCTAATGCTCATGTTGGCCAAGGAGATGGCCAGATGTGGTTTCAGGGAATGCAGATGTGGGTCCTGTGATATGGACTTAAAAACACTCAGAAGAAAAAGGATACTAAAGACCTATCCTTCCTCAAAATATGAATTTCTAAGTTTGTTAGTCTGTTGCAGCAAAACATAATCTATACACATAATAAAAGTGAAAACATGTATGTGTGTATGTTTCTGGGATGTCAACTTAAACAGAGAAGTTCTTGACTCCACAAACAGCTATATCTCCCACTACTCGGGAGACACCAATGGCCCTCCTCCAATGACACTGAAGGTTATAGTGAGCGCCGTAAACATGTCCAAGAGCCCGGCCAATGTCCTCCACAAACACACTACTGCCCACTACACAAGTGAAGGCTTTCATACAGGGACAATTCCATCCTAGATTTTATGTGTTTCCTCCACCACAAACATCCCAGTATTTTTGACTCTCTCCATTGGTGTAAAATTTGCATGACCCCCACCCACTACCTCTCCCTTAACTCTTTCCTATAGTTTTCTATGCCACAGAGCAAACAGAGGAATTGATCAGCAACTGAAAATACTAAAGAGGTTTGGGGAGAATTCACCATGATTTATAGGAGTTGTAGGTACTCGGATGTATAGTTCACCTGTAATCTAAGAACCCCACCAATGATGGATCTGGAAATAACCTGGCACACAGAACCCCTATGACCAACAAAAAATACTGGAGAGTTTTGGAGGGATTTATAGGAGTTGTAGTTCACCTACATCCGGAGCAAACTATGAACCCAAACAATGATGGATCTGGACTAAATTTGGCACACATATCTGATGTGTCCAAATTTGAATACTGGTGGGTTTGGAGGGGAATTGGCCTGGACATTTTGGTGTTGTAGGTACTGGAATTTATATTTCACATGCAAGAAATGAGAACTCTGAACAAAGATGGAATTGGACCAAACTTGACGCAGAGCCCCCATAACCAACAAAAAAAACAACCTGGAGGCCTTTGGGGAAAATTCACCTTGATTTGGGGGAGTTGTAGTTCACCTACATGCAGAGAGTACCACGAACCCAAACACTGATGGATCAGGACCAAACTTGGCACACATATCTGATGTGCTGACATTTGATTACTGAAGGGGTTTGGGGGAAAACTGATCTTCCTTTCTGTGAGTTACAGTTCACCCACAACCAGGAGAACTCTGACCTCCACTGATGATGGACCTGGACCAATCCTGGCACACAGAACCCCCATGACTAACTCAACCTACTGGAGGGATTTGAGGGGACTGACTCACCATAGTGGGAGTTGTAGTTTACTCTACAGCCAGAGAACACACTGCACCCCACTGATGATGCATCTAGAGCAAACTTGCCCAACATAACAAACTTTAAGTACTGATGTAATTTCAGAGGGTTAACTTGACATATGAGTTGCAGTTCACCAACAACCTTATACATTTTGTACAATTAAAGAACTGACTTTTTCAAATAACCCGGGCAATGCCGGGCACCCAAGCTAGAAAATAAATCAAAATGACTGTCAGAATTGCACTACATCATCCTCCACAATGTAAAAATCTACTCTGGGATGTTGTTTATATACAGCAAAGCCATGCCACATATGCATTTTTAATATGCCTGCTAGTAAGCTAATTAGCCAAAGTTAATCTAAGAAAGCATCTAAAAGCGTTTCCAAGAAATTTGCAAGCATCCAATTTTCTTGAGCAAACAAAGTTTAGGGACAGAATAACAGGACTACTCTCCGTCCTCGCATGAAAAGGCCTACATTTTTGATACATCCTAATTAGAAGTGTTTGAGTCCAGGCTAGTTAACTCCTCTCGCAATGAGTAAACACAGCATATTTGGAATAATAACTTGTACAGGACACGATGCAGTCTGCCTTCAGCGGGACTGAAAGAGGCATCTGAGGCTGAGCAGAAAAAAGGTGAGTTTTGTAAGATTCAACATAAACATATTTGTTTGCTTTTTCTCCCTCCTGAGTCCAAAAAATGCCTGTACCTCTCCTTTCCAAATATATCTACTATAAAACATCTGAGTTTGAGATGCAGCTTTGTAGGATACATGCAAAGTTGCTGAGGGTCCGTGACTTATATCCCAAAGTTCATATCCTGATATACTTCTGAAGTTGACAACAATTGGACATTTTAAATATACATATACCTGTAAATATTCACATACGTTCTATTATATGTCATGCCTGAAAATCAAACTATCCTCGGAGTGATATGTTTCAGCTATACATTGTATTTGCAAACTAAGCCAATATTTACACCATAATACAAAACAAAACACATTAAATGCAAGATACTTAGGTGAGGAAAATCTCACTGAAAAACGTATTTCACCATTAGGGGAAGCATGTCAGCAAAAGATATGCTAAGCACATCACCAGATCTGACCCTTACAAAAATGATATTGGTATAGGCAGGTATGTATGCTTTTGTGCATGGGCAAGGAGTTGCAGAAGGAAGTGAAGAAAGAATCACAGAGTTTGAGCAAAATGGATTTTTTGTTCCATGATATTATAACTTTACTTATAGGATAATGAAGACAAACCAAATGGAATAGACTATTTCACCCTACCTTTGTGAGCTTTTGTGGTTCACCGTGCAAGGAGCTAAACCAGACATGGGCAAACTTGGGCTCTCCAGGTGTTTCGGACTTCAACTCCCACCATTCCTAACAGCCTCAGCCCCCCTCCCCCCCCTCAGCTGCTTAAGCAGCTGAAGGGGAAAAAGAAAAGGCCTGAGGCTGTTAGGAATGTTGGGAGTTGAAGTCCAAAACACCTGGAGGGCCCAAGTTGGCCCAGGGCTTAGCTAAACTATATAGGAAACCCTGGATCTCTTTCCCAAACTAAATAGCTGGGAAGTGACAGCAATATTATTTTGAGAAGTGAGCACTATATTTTCCCTATCACCGTCTTACCTGAATCCATCTTTGCAGACGGTGCATCTATCCATCTCCCAAATACACTTCTTACAGTTTGGATGGCATTTCTGACAACGTCGTTGACCTTGTGTAGGAATGAAGCCAGAATGGGAAAAAGAACCAGAAAGATGAAAAAATGAATGTTTAGAAACTGCAATCTATAACTGAAGTTGCAACCATATAACTCAGAGTAACAAGATCACTTTCTAGGTTTTTTGACTGGCTCAGGTGACAATCCCTCCCTGTATTTGAGTCTCATTAAGAAAGAAAAAAAGCAGCATATAAATAAATATAACAACAACAACAGTGGCAACAACAACACTAACATTTTGTCGAAGGCTTTAATGGATGTAATCACTGTGTTGCTGTGAGTTTTCTGGGCTATATGGCCATGTTCCAGAAGCATTCTCTCCTGATGTTTTGCCCACATCTATGGCAGGCATCCTCAGAGGTTGTGAGGTCTGTTGGAAATGATTCAAGTGGGGTTTATATATCTGTGGAATAGTGTCCAGGGTGGGAGAAATAACTCTTATCTGTTTGAGGCAAGTGAGAATGTTGCAATTGGCCACCTTGATTAGCATTATATATCCACAGATATATAAACCTCACTTGCCTGGTTTCCAACAGACCTCACAACTTTTAAAGCTGCCTGTCACAGATGTGGGTGAAACAACAATGGTTTCTGGAACATGGCCGTACAGCCCAGAAAGCTCACAGCAACCCAACAATAATAACGTTGAAATAATAACGTTGAAATCCCTTAGTATTACTAAATGTTAAGACCCCGATACCAAATTTTATCACAACTTTTCCCCAAGATTGCAACTCAAGGAGACGTACAACCTCAAAAGGTTACAATATTATCATACAGTTCTAAACAATTGAAAACATCTACTTTAATAATAAGAGATTTAAAAAAAACAGTTTAAACAGTACAAATTTAAAACAACACAACATTCTCTTCATCCCCTTATACACTGCCAAATAATCCAGATTATCAATGCAGATAATCTATATTTTCTGCTTTGAATCGGATCATATGAAGCTACATTGCCATATAATCCGGTTCAAAGCAGATAATATTGATTTATACTGCAGTGGGGTCTTAGAGCCCTTTTCATTAAAGTCATATCTTACAATGGTCTATCTGAGGCCCCACCTGCCATATAGAATCCAGATTATTTTCTTTGAACCGGATTATATGGCAGTGTAGAGTCATATAACCTTGTTCAAAACAGATAATGTGGATTATCTACTTTGATAATCGGGATTATATGGCAGTGTAGATCCAGAGTACAAAAATCTATATTGCCAATGAAAGGTCAGTAAGGAGGAGGGCATTTCTCTCCTAGGGAGGCTACCACAGAGAAGGCCTTATCGATCTCATACACACGTTCTTCTTCCTTACCCATCTCAGAGTAAAACCCAGCTGGACACAGCATCACGCATGCATTTGTTTCTTGGTGATGATAGAAGCCATGCTTGCAAGCTGTGCACGAGTTCTGGCTCCTCCCCAGGCAAGCTTCACAGCTCCGGTGGCATCTGCGGCATTTCCGCTGAATGCTGTCCCCAAAGTACCCAGAAGGACAGGAACTCACACACTTTCTAGGAGAGAAAAAACTCACAGCATTCATATTTATTTCTAACTAGTGGTACCCGCTATACGTTGCTGTGGCCAACCTTCCCTCACTCTTTCTCTCCTTCCATCCCTCCCTTTTTCCTTCCTTCCCTCTTTTTCTTTTCCTTCTTCTTTCTTCCTTCTCTATGTTTCTTCCTTTGCTCTTTGGTGCCATCCTTCCTCGTTTCCTTCCTTCCTTCTCTCCCTCTTTCTCTCTTTCATTCCTTCTCTCCTTCCTTCCCTCTTTCACTTTTTTTATTTCCTTCTCTCCTTCCTTCCTTCTCTGCCTTTCTTTCTTTCCTTCTCTCCTTCCCTCCTTCCTTCCTTCCTTCCTTCCTTCCTTCCTTCCTTCCTTCCTTCCCCCGTTCTGTGTATGCATATATGTGTGTATATATTTCTGTATATATTGGTGTATATGTGTATATATGTGTGTTTCTGTACATGTGTGGTTTTGCGCATGCATTGTAATGTATTTTTTTTGTTTTTTGGCTTTTTAAGCATTACATTTTCATTTATATAGATGGTCACTCGTTGGCCATCACTCATTGTGTCCAAATTTGGTGTCAATTCATCCAGTGGTTTTTGAGTTATGTTAATCCCACAAATGAACATTACACCGGGGGAAAAAGAAGGAGGAGGGGTCCCTGTTTGGTGAGGCCAACAGAGGACAGAGACTGGGAGGGCCCACACGAGGCCCTCAAAAGCACGCTTGCTGCTATGGGATCCTGGGATCTGTAGTTTGGTGGGGCACCAGTCCTCCTTGGCAGAGATGGTTTCAACAAGACCGCATGAAAGTACAGCTCCCAGCACCCCATTGCATTGAGTTAAAAGTTGGGTAAAACTGCATCCATTCTACTGTGTGTGTCTGAGCCGCAGCCTGATCCCATGGCTAAGCCTCACTCGATACCAGCAGGTATTGCCAGCTTGCAACGGATAGTTGGTGCAATGTTTTTCCTTCACGTGGGGAGGGGGGGACATTCGACATGTGCTGTTATGTATTCTTGGTTTTTGGGTTTTTTTAAAGTTCTTTCTGGTTCATTTTTTTTGTTTTTTTGAGATAAGGACATAGATTGCTTTGGTTGGTGTCTTGTGTCCAAATTTGGGGTAAATTTGCCCAGCAGTTTTTGAGTTCTGTTAATCCCACAAACAAACATTACATTTTTATTTATATAGATGCAAGCAAGAAGCGGAGATTCTAATACAACTGCTGCTGTCTTTGTTTTGAGACTTGCAGCTTTTTCTAGTACTCTAGTACCCTTCCAAAGAGCCATATAACTCAGAATATCAAGGCAGGTCATCCACAATATTAACTGGATTATCTGAGTCCACACTGCCATATAATCCAGTTCAAAGAATGTAAGCTACAATCATTGCTGTTTTGGAAAATAAACTCCCCTTCCACATAAGCCACATTCAACCCCGTCAGTGCCTTCCGCGTTCCCGTCCAATGAGTTTTATTGATTACCTGCCGGCTTTAAGACTTCCAAAGCTATAATGGAAACAGTTCAGGCACTGGTCAGCATTGGGGCCGTCGCACTCTTGGTCACCACATTCCGCATGGCACGGACCTTAGGGAGACAGATAGTTCTGCTGAAAGAAGAGATATAACACTCTTCCTAGTCCAACCTACACGTTTGCGGCCAGTCTGCTCAAAACCTATCGGTGTGTCACATCACATCAGAACCATAACAACACTAGAAATATTTTGGCCTGATTCTTTTGGCTTTCCTTCACCCACTCTAAAGCATGAAAGACATCAGAATGACAATCAAAAGCTAGCAAGGCTATTTCGGTTTGTCAGAATGAGGTCAGAGCAAAGTAGGTTCTCCCAACTGGCATGCAGCCGAGCTTTGAGTGAATTGATAGTGCTTTTCTTGCATCAATGGGGGCTGGACTGGATGTCCCCTGTGGTCCCTTCCAACTCCAGGATCCCTCCTGCATCTTGCATTAAATTAGAATCAACGAATGAACACAATCCCTAGCTGCATAAAACTAGATACAGGAAGATGACTAGGCTAGGTGAAAACAACCTTCGTTGGTGTATATTTCAATGAGCACGGATATATTTATTGGAAAAGCTCCTTTTTACAGTCCAAAAATGCACAGTTCAAGTCCACCCCTTCAGGGACAGCCCTGCCCTAGATTTCTAACTCTGCCTATTAGCTAGCTCAGGGATGGGCAAACTTTGCCCCTCCAGGTGTTTTGGACTCCAACTCTCACAATTCCTAACAGCCCCAGGTCCCTTCCTTTTCCCCCTCAGCCGCTTAAGCGGCTGAGGGGGAAAAGGAAAGGGCCTGAGGCTGTTAGGAATTGTGGGAGTTGGAGTCCAAAACACCTGGAGGGGCAAAGTTTGCCCATGCCTGAGCTAGAACAACAGGCACTTATTTTGTCCATGTATTAACCAAGAAAATGAGCACTTTTATCCATCACCTCAATACTTAAAACCAGTATCCCGATTTGTATTGCTTCACACCAATGTTTCTCAATCTTCCTAATGCTACGACCCCTTAATACAGTTCCTCACATTGTGGTGACCCCCAACCATAAAATTATTTTCGTTGCTACTTCATAACTGTAATTTTGCTACTGTTATGAATCATAATGTCAATATCTAATATGCAGGATGTGTTTTCCTTCACTGGACCAAATTTGGCACAAATACCCAATATGCCCAAATTTGAATATACTAGTGCCCTTTTCCTTTTTACCCCAACATCCTGCAAGGCTTGGATATGAAACTGGCAACCCCCCTGCACAGCATCAGCATCCTCAACACTGGGGTGCCTGTATCAAGGAAAAGTTGGCCAGCTGTGCACCAAGCAGCTTGTTTTCTGCAACAACGCCTTCAAACTACAGGAAAGGAGATTCCACCTGAACATAAGGAGGAACTTCCTAACTGTGAGAGCTGTTCAGCAGTGGAACTCTCTGCCCCAGAGTGTGGTAGAGGCTCCATCTTTGGAGGCTTTGAAACAGAGACTGGATGGCCATCTGTCAGGGGTGCTTTGAATGCAATTTTCCTGCTTCGTGGCAGAATGGGGTTGGACTGGATGGCACACGAGGTCTTTTCCAACTCTATGATTCTATAAAACAACGTTTCTTAATCTTCCTAATGCCACCACCCCTTAATACAGTTTCTCATGGTGTGGTGACCACCAACCATTACATTATTTTCATTGCTACTTTATAACTGTAATTTTGCTACAGTTTTGAATCGTAATGTCAATATTTGATATGCAGGATGTATTTTCCTTCACTGGACCAAATTTGGCACAAATACTCAATACGCCCAAATTTGAATACTAGTGGGTTGGGGGGGGGGATTGATTTTGTCATTTGGGAGTTGTAGTTCACCTACAATCAAAGAGCATTCTGAACCCCACCAATGATGGAATTGAACCAAACTTGGCACACAGAACTCCCATGACCAACAGAAAATACTGGAAGTGTTTGGTGAGCATTGACTTAGAGTTTGGGAGTTGTAGTTCACCTACATCCAGACAGCACTGCGGACTCAAGCAATGATTTTTTTTTTGTCATGTCAGGAGTGACCTAAGAAACTGCAAATCACTTCTGGTGTGAGAGAATTGGCCATCTGCAAGGACGTTGCCCAGAGGACACCCGGATGATTTAATGTTTTATCATCCTTGTGGGAGGCTTCTCTCATGTCCCCGCATGGGGAGCTGGAGCTGATAGAGGGAGCTCATCCGCCTCTCCCCGGATTCGAACCTGCGACCCGTCAGTCTTCAGTCCTGCCGGCACAGAGGTTTAACCCACTGCACCACCGGGGGCTCCTCAAGCAATGATGGATCTGGACCAAACTTGGCACGAATACTCAATATGCCCAAATGTGAACACTGGTGGAGTTTGGGGAAAATAGATCTTGACATTTGGGAGTGGTAGTGGCCAAGATATATAGTTCTCCTACAATCAAAGAGGATTCTGAACCCCACCAACGATAGAATTGGGCCAAACTTCCCACACAGAGCACCCATAACCAACAGAAAATACTGTCTTTAGTTGCCCCTTTGACACCCCTTCACGACCCCCCCCCCAGGGTTCCCGACTCCCAGGTTGAGAATGTTGCTTCACATGTTATGAGCACCAATAGGCTGAGTCTATTAGATGCACAAACTCAAACAGCAATTTATAGTGGAGTTTGATGTTATTTTCCAGATGGTCTCATAAATGTCACAAGTCAAGAGAGAACTGGGCCAATTGGATTTTGCAAGCTCATCCAAGGCCACTTCTGGACCCCTCATTGCCATTTAGATAATCTCTGCATATCTTTAAATAATGCATTTGGCAAGCATAAGAATTAGAACTTGGCTTATGAAAGCCAAGCATCTCATGTTAAGTTTCTCAAAATCCCATGCATGACAAGGCAAATCTATGGGATGTATAAAACACAGCGTTCATATCTTGAGATAGTTTTCAAAGCTAATTAATGCAGTTGTGTCAGGATCTAAATGACTGAGTTTCTTCAACATTTATGAGACCATCTGGAGAACAACAGCAAACACCACTGTAAATTGCTGTTTGAATAATTTAATCACACTGGGGAGCAACGTAGGAAGAACAACAAAGCTGAAAGTGTAACATTTTAATCAAGAGATCCAGACCCCAGCCTCATCCCAAAAACTCAATTGCCAAACTCCAGAATTCTTTTTGGTCTCAGCTCACGGCAAAAGATACCATATATACTCGAGTACAAGGAAAGAAGGAAGGAAGGAAGGAAGAGTGCATGGAAGGAAGGAAAGAAGGAAAGAAAGAAGTAAGTAAAGGCAGAAGGGTGGAAGGAAGAGTGGAAGGAAGGAAGGAAGGAAGGCAGGCAAGAAGGAGGGAGGGAGGGAGGGAGGAAAGGAAGGAAGGAAGGAAGAGTAGAAGAAAGGAAGAGTGCAAGGAGGAAAGGAAAGAAGGAAAGAAAGAAGTAAGTAAAGGCGGAAGGGTGGAAGGAAGGAAGAGTGCAAGGAAGAAAGGAAAGAAGGAAAGAAAGAAGTAAGTAAAGGCGGATGGGTGAAAGGAAGGGTGGAAGGAAGAGTGGAAGAAGGAAGGAAGGAAGGGGAAGGAAGGAAGGAAGGAAGGAAGGAAGGAAGGGAGGGAGGGAGCGAAAGAGCAGGAAGGAAGGAAGGAGAGGAAGGAGGAAAGAAGGAAAGAAAGAAGTAAGTAAAGGCGGAAGGGTGGAAGGAAGGAAGAGTGCAAGGAAGAAAGGAAAGAAGGAAAGAAAGAAGTAAGTAAAGGCGGATGGGTGAAAGGAAGGGTGGAAGGAAGAGTGTATGGAAAGGAAGGAAGGAAGGAAGGAAGGAAGGAAGGAAGGAAGGAAGGAAGGAGGGAGGGAGGAAGGGAGGGAGGAAGGCAGGCAGGCAGGCAGAGGAGGAAGGAGGAGGAGGAGGGAGGGAGGGAGGGAAGGAGGTAGGGAGGGAAGGAAGGATGGGTGGAAGAAAGGAAGGAAGGAAGGAAGAGTAGAAGAAAGGAAGAGTGCAAGGAGGAAAGGAAAGAAGGAAAGAAAGAAGTAAGTAAAGGCGGAAGGGCGGAAGGAGTGGAAGGAAGGAAAGAAGGAAGGAAGGAAGGAAGGAAGGAAGGAAGGAAGGAAGGAAGGAAGGAAGGAAGGAGGAAGAAGGAAGGAGGGAAGGAAGGATGGGTGGAAGAAAGGAAGGAAGGAAGGAAGAGTAGAAGAAAGGAAGAGTGCAAGGAGGAAAGGAAAGAAGGAAAGAAAGAAGTAAGTAAAGGCGGAAGGGCGGAAGGGCGGAAGGAAGGAAGGAAGGAAGGAAGGAAGGAAGGAAGGAAGGAAGGAAGGAAGGAAAGTAGGGTTTTGGGAACTTTACCTGTATATTCCTCTTCCTCCTCCTGCATCTCCATCTGCGTTTGGAAGAAAGCAACTTTTGAGGGTTCCATGTCGGATGATGGCATTTCCATCATCCTTGACCTGGAGTGTTGGGAGTTGACATTCGAGGATGGGGGCTCAACTGTTCCATATAAAATAAGGCTCCATTCTTTTAACTTCCCTGCAAAACATAATGAGTTGGTCAATATTACGTCTGTCGAGCCAGTAATAATAAATAACAATAAACTCTATTTTTATCCCACTTCCATCTCCCAAATAGGGACTCAGAGAGGCTTATAAGGCCCTGCAAGTGCAGTATAAACATCAACAGTAAAGAGTATAAAATAATATCACATAAAAGTTATAAGCAACCACTATCAACACATAAAATAAGATAAAATACACAATTTAAAAACCCATGCCATTTATGGTTAAAAGTAGCTGCCATCAATACACAACTAAAGTACCAAAGTGTCAACCTCATACGGGCCCATTTCAGTAACAGATTAATGAAACTACAAAGTCCTTCACATTGAGCCATGGCAGTTAAAGTAGGGCCAAACTACATTAAATCTACACTGTGGATTAGACTTGGATCTGTTTGTATTTGTTATTTATTTATTTCCAATATTTCTATCCCACCCTTCTCAATCCCTGAGGGGGGACTCGGGGCGGCTTACAAACCGGCCACAATTCGAAGCCTCAATATAATACAAATATAAACACAAATAGTAACCGTTTAAAACAGTAATTAAAACATAAAGTTAAGAGCACGTTAAAAACATAGTCATCAACCATATAGCCAATTTCAGTCCGGTTCAACGTCCAAGGTGTTGTCATGCTTGCTGCCCAAAGACCTGGTCCCAGAGCCATGATTTAACCTTTGGCCAATCCAGCTTCTTCAGTTAGTTCAGGTGTCCGTAATGGCAAGGGCCCAGTCGTCACAGATTCCCATCCACAATGAGACCACGGGGCAGCCGATCTCAGCTCCTCCTCCCTTATTTGGCATCACAGTTTAATCTTTTTGATTTTCCTTTATTTTCTTAATTCTTTTTATTGAGTAGGACTGACTGGGAGTTGGGGATGTGAGGGTGGGTGGGGTGCACACGCGCATTTGGGGGCTTGGGAGAGTCACATTTTTAGCTTTTTTGTCTCCTTCCCCTCCTCTCCTTCAAATATTTCTAAAAGATTTATTATTATTATTATTATTATTATTATTATTATTATTATTATTATTGTTATTATTATTATAACTTTATTTGTACCCCGCTAGCATCTCCCGAAGGATTCGATGCGGCTCACAATAGGCCGAAGCCCAACACAATACAACAATACAATATCTAGCAAATAAAAACAGTTAAGCAGAAAAACAATAACAATAGCAATACGACAAGAAATAATAATAATAATAATAATAATAATAATAATAATAATAATAATAAATCCCACCAAACAAAAAGAAAACCCTTATTCTCTGAAAACTACTAACACCTAGTTACCTCTCCTCTAGAGTTGAAAGTAGAAATAGCTTTAAGGAAGCATTAAACTGGAAGTAGAAAGTAGAGGGCCTGCAGCAGAGAAAAAGAGAGGGCTTTTTAAGGAAGCTCAAGGAAGATAGCTCCAGGTCATTACTCTTCCTTGCCATGGATGGAAAGCTGTGTGACTGCTGCAGGGAGAGAAAGCACACACCTCTCCTCTAGAGTAGAAATAGCTTTAATGAAGCACTAAACCTGGTCTCTACAGACAGAAGGGAAAGGATCACAGGTGAGCACTCATAGCTCAAGGATGATAGTCCTTCAAGTATAGTATTATGGTGGTGGGTCCGTAGGTGGCTGTGGAGCCCTATTCTTGATCCGCATGTTCTCCCGCAGTGAGGACATCGGTTTCCAGGTGGAAGGCGGTCCTGGTCAGGGTTGGCTTGAGGTGCCTCTTCCTCTTGGCACGTTTCTCCCTTTCGCCTTCCATTCATGGCTCTTTGAATTCCACAGCACTGCTGTTCACAGCTGACCTCCAGTTAGAGTGCTCAAGGGCCAGGGCTTCCCAGTTCTTGGTGTCTATGCCACAGTTTTTAAGGTTGGCTTTAAGTCCATCTCTAAATCTTGCAGAAAGAGTGGTACTTTAAGTCTGATACTTTTTAGTACAGGTCTTAATGAAGGTTATGGAAGGGGAGCCTGTGGGAAGTCCCTCCATAATGGGCCAGATAGGGTGCTTTCTTAACCCCGTTGCTGATACACAGGGTCCCTTGAAGGAAAAAAGGAAAGGGCTGCAGGAATTGAAAGGGGTGCCTCGTAAGTTCCCCATTGTTGCCGATGGGACAGATCTAGCTATATTTTTCAGCTACAGACCGAAAACGGCTATCTGACTTCCCATCTGTGAAAATGAATACGGGGTCTACAAGTATCTGGCCAGCAGAGCCGAATTGAGGTTCAGCAAAAATGTACAAGCCTACTGTGGATGCACCCTAAGTTAAATTTCCTTCCCTCTGGAAAGATTTACAAGCAACACCACAATACTCAAAAGGGCCATTTATTCATATTGTGGATAGTCTTTATCTGAAACAAAAGCACTAAATCTGCTGCATTCCCAGGAAAGTATGTATGTTACGATTTGCTAACATACACAAGTCCTTGGATTTTTCCTTCCAGATTATTTTTCAAAAAGCACCCTACAGGTATAACTCAACCTGACTGAAGGTTTCAAGGGAGCATAAAAGATGCCCTTCCAATAAAGTGCCATCCATGCAATTCAGCTTTGGTTTTGAGATTGTTGGATTTTTCTTTTTAAAAAAGAGAAATACCTATCAAGGAGCTTGAGAAGTAATCCTCCAGGCTGCAGAACAAATTTGCTTTAAAGAGTTCCAAGAAAGGTATGATGAAATATGTGTTTGTGGGGATTTGAAACAGCTCTCTGTGGCAAATATATTTTAGGAGGTGGTCAAAACATACAAAGAATGTGATTGTGAAGGTAGCTGCTGATGAGGTAGGAAGGGAAAACTAGTTATTACCAATAAAGATTAGGAAATTGTGGGTAAAGATATGTACAATCAGCACGCAGGCCAATTGCATAGTCGTCCATTGGCTACCACTTTACAGTGGTACCTCTATATCAGGCATGGGCAAACTTCGGTCTTCCAGATGTTTTGGACTTCAGCTCCCACCATTCCTAAGAGCCTTAAGCCCCTGCCTCCCCCCCCCCCCCGAGCCACTTAAGCGGTTAGGAACTGTGGGAGTTGAAACCCAAAACACCRGGAGGGCTGAAGTTGGCCCACGAGTGTTTTGGAACTTACTTCACAAAAGTAAGTTCCAAAACACTCATAGTTGTTGTGGTTGGTATTAATTCTTTAAGGTCCTACATGTAGTTTCCAGCTATCTTCCAATTGCCTATATACGTGTATCTTTAGTGTTAGCTGCTTTCAGTCTCTCTTGAGAGAGGAAAAGTGGGATATAAACACAAACAACAACAATAAAAGTCTGCTACTCTTATTCTTCTCTGGCGGGGGTGAGGGGAATCATAGTCAAGATCTATAAAGTGTAAACATCAGAGTTCCAAAGCATGTACATTTACATAGAATGTCTGCATACCATAAATCTGCTCATATTACACTTGTTTTGATCAGTTTTATGGAGTAAACAAACACGTGAATATACTTACTGCAATTTTTCCCCAAAGCAAATAAATCCATCAAGTCAATTGTAATTGAATGGATCCTGTCATGTCTGGAAGAGTAAATTATAAATCTCTATACATTGAGGAATCTCTGTTGAATTCTTCCACTTGTACAGCTTTGGCCTCCTGCTCAAATGAACCACCAAGGTAATGGTGACGCAATAGGCCACAGTGGTGCAATGGGTTAAACCTTTGTGCTGCTGAACTGCTGACCTGAAGGTTAGCAGTTGAAATCCATGGGACAGGGTGAGCTCCTGCTGTTAGCCCAGCTCCTGCCAACCTAACAGTTTGAAAACATGCAAATGTGAGTAGATCAATAGGTACCATCTTGGCGGGAAAGACGCTCCAAGCAGTCATGTCGGTCACACAACCAGGAGGTGACAACGCAGGCTCCTTGGCTTGGAAATGGAGAACAGCACCTTCCCCAGAGCCAGAGATGAGCACCACTTACAGAAGCCGTAAATGAAAAGAGAAGCCTCTGCCTTTGTTTGTGTTTGTGTGTCTCATTGAATTGTAACAAGGCACTGAATGTTTGCCCGTGTCTGTTTACACTGTAATCCGCTCTGAGTCCCCACAGGGAGAAGGACGGAATATAAATAAAGTTTTATTATATTATTATACTTCTTGTCCTTTTAATTCCTAGCTTTTTGAAAAGTTAAGTAGTAACCCAATGCTTGTTGTGACTGGATAGCGAGTTTCACAGCTGCAAATCAAGACACAACCCCTTTAACTTTGGCCTTTGTTAACAAGGCACAGAGTACAAAAAACATCATTCAGTTTCAAGTAATATTGGTATAACATATGTTTAATGTTGTCTTGTCTATGTCCAAAATGGAGCAATAACATTGTCTCCTCTTGTATAACTGAGGGTTAATGATGGCTCCAGCACTAGCAATTGATGGATTTGGATGGGAAACATCAAAAGCCATCACCATTCAGAGGCAGGTGAACATTAGCATCTATAGTTTTAAAAGTAACTTTCCCAAGTTCTCATAAGAAGATACAATCCACAGGCACTTACCTTGCATTTCTGGGTTTCGTACATGATAGGGCTTATCCTGGACTTCCAGTGTCCATTCTCCAGATGCCTTTTCTCCCCAGCAGTGGACAGTCATGAATTCCCAATGTTTAAAGCCTTCACTGGAATCATCATGTTGCCTATTAATAGATAGCAATATGGAAGTTGTATTACAGACTCACAGATTTTGCAAAAGTAAGTGGGTTTAAGTCAGCTAGACCACTCAGTGCAGAAAACCAATAGAGTTATAACAACCTCAGTAGATTATTATCTATTTGCAGCGCTTATGAGAAGCCTTTCTGCTCCTTTATAGGACTTGGTCTACAGGAAATCAGTAACACCCAAATGGATCAATGGATGAGCTTCATCTCTGACAATTGGTTTAATAAATCTTTGCACACTTATTAGGGCTTAACCCATAACTGTGCATTTAGTATTTGCAACCATGTTGATGACCTATCTGCACAACTAAGCATCACCTTTCATGACCTACTCCAATATTCTGGCCCTAAATATGGGTGCTGTTGTAGATCAGTCTGAGGCTCTTGAGGTTGATGGGTCCACTGATGTTTTAGAGAGGATTGTGGCATTGCCTGTGGGACTGCCTGGGTCTCCTGTTCAAGTTTTACTAAGTATACCTTTTGCTTGTGGACTTAAACTGTTCTTGTGATTTGGGTTATTCCTGGACTGTATTACATTTGCATCTGTAAGAGACATTTGGATTCCTGTTGGATTATCACCTATTGCTAAACCTTTTTGGATTATACATCTTTTTTATTCTTGATTTTTTTCCTATACTTTTTATATGTTTCTACAACAAACTGTTTGCTTATATTCTGGACCCTTGTGTGGTGCTGTGATCATAGATGTTCTCAACAGGAGTACAACAGGTGCATCTACACTGCAGAATTAATGTGGTTTGACACCATTCTTACTGCTATGACTGAATGCTATAGAATCCTGGGATTTATAATTTGATGAAGCACAAGGACTTTTTGGCAGTAGTTTAAAAGTAGTGTGAAACTGCATTAATTCTATGATGGAGATATTAATTTGGACATCCAAATTTGACGCCAGCATTTAATTCTACAATTTGAATCTTTCATCCAGGTTTAAAGTTGTTTCATTTAATATCATATGTAGCTACTGAATGTCATGTGGTTTTCATCATTCTCAGTTTCCCAGCACACGTAAAGTGAACAACAGGAGAAAAAAAACCCCTAAAATTAGAATTAGAGTGTTCCTAAAGTGGAAGAGATTAAAAACCATTCATTTCAACTCCAACACAAGCACTACTCAATTGATTTTGACCAGCACATAACCTAGAATGTTTAATTTTGTTTTGCTTCATTCCTACTGCCATATAGTATATAGAGCAGCTTGTATCAAGAAGTCATTGGCTCCCTTTTGGGATTAGCTGACCCTGAACTGGCAACTTGAGTGTTGTCAGCATCTTCAAAAAAAGAAAATCCAAAAGGACAGCAAAAATCTCCCGCTTACATTTCCAGTAAAGTGAAGTTACACCTGCTACTGTCCACAACACATTATGTTCTACTGGACTTTTAGATCCCCAAAACATTATATTGGTATGTAAAGAAGAAAAGGCTTAAAGGGCTGTTATGAAGATGTGTAATGAGGGAAAACACACAAGTAGAGAAACAAAAATGTACTTCAGCAATGAAACTCACCTTCTTCCCAGGAGTTGAGATTTAGTCCCAGAAGGAGATATTAGGTTTATCTGGAGGTCTCCCCGCCGAGGGTGTGCAATAGAAACTCGTACAATGACATGTTCCAGATAAGCCACATGATGGTCAAGCTGGTCAGCACAGGCGTTGGTTACGGTTGCAGTCCGCACTGTCTTGTTGGCAGGAATGAACCTAAAGATGGAAAAGTCAAGTAAAGGCTACAGCAATTCCATATGGGAAATGTTTACAGAGGGGGATCGAGCTATCAGTTGACAACTGAATCTCATCAGACCCAGTTAATCAATATCCATCTATGCTGATGATCGAGCATCGTCACTCAAGCAGAGATCTTTGAAATGGTTGTACAGAAGCTCTCCGGAGCTTTAGGTGCTCTTACCGCCTATTACAGGGAAAACCAACTGAATCCTAATCCATCTAAAACACAGACATGTGTTTTTCATCTTAAGAATAGACAAGCAACTTGAGCTCTGAGAATCACCTGGGAAGGAATCCCACTGGAGCACTGCACACACCCAAATACCTGGGAGTCACTCTGGACTGTGCTCTGACTTATAAGAAGCACTGCTTGAATATCAAGCAAAAATAGGTTGTTAGAAATAGTATCATATGAAAGCAGATTGGCACAAACTAAGGATCACAACCAGACACAGTGAAGAAATCTGCCGTTGTGCTTTGCTACTCTGCTGCTGAATACGCATGCCCACCACATTAAAACAGTGGAAGTGGCTCTAAATGAGACATGTCTACACCCTACAACTTTGGAGGTACTATACTGTTTAGCCAGTGTTGCACCACCTGATATCTGTTGGGAAGTAGCAGTCTGTAATGAAAGGACCAATGCATTGACATCTCCAACCCATCCTCTGTTCCGATATCAGACAACATGACAATGTCTTAAATCAAGAAATAACTTCCTGAGATCTGCAGAGATACTTGCAGGAACACCTCAGTAAGCAAGAGTCCAAAAGTGGCAGGCTAAAACCCAGAACTTCAACCAGTGGCTGAGACCAGATGAGAAACTTCCTCCTGAGCACACAGAAGACTGGGCAACCTGGAAGGCGCTGGGCAGACTATGCTCTGGCACCACAAGATGCAGAGCTAACCTTAAGAAATGGGGCTACAAAGTGGAGTCCAGAACATGCGAGTGTGGAGGAGAGCAAACCACAGGCCACCTACTACAATGCAGTCTGGGCCCTGCCACATGCATGATGGAGGACCTTCTCACAGCGACACCAGAGGCACTCCAAGTGGCCAGCTTCTGGTCAAAGGACATTTAGCATAATGCCAAGTATTTTTATACATTATAACTGTATTCTCAATTTGCTCCTGATATGATAAATAAATAAATAAAATCAATATCTATCCATATCATTGCCTATTTAGCAAAAGTAATATAGAAAAACACATTTCATTTGGACCCCCCCCCCCCTTGCTATTCAACGTGATGGTCAATGGACCAGTATCAAACTATTAGCCATCAGTTGGAAGACCCCAAAGAGTTTCTAAGAAATATAGTATCCTGACACATTTGAAAATGAAAAATGTAAGACTCCCACATCAGATTGCTTACAAAGCACTGGTTTTACACTATCACTATAAAATAATGAAATAAGCTAAGAAAAATAAACATTTTGTTCAAGGTAGTTTATGGCTGGGGTAAAGCCAAGGTTAGAACACAGGTTTTCATTAAATGTTGAAGACTTATGAAGTCCTGAGGTTCTTAAAACAGTCCATCAAATGAAAACTTGTAGGACATGGGACAGAAAATCCTGCTTCCTCTGAAGATTGCCATGTTTATTTTATTTTAGTAACTATATCTATATCTCTCCTTTCTTTCTTCATGGAGTTCCAAAATCATCAGATACATGGAGTTTCCCAGAGTGCTTCCACTCCAGGCCTGGTCTAAACCGCTTCACTTTACACCAGTGGTTCCTAACCTGTGGTCCATGGACCACCAGTGATCTGTAATAACTAAAATATGGTCCACAGCCTCACCTTTACTACACTACTGCAATGAGAGCAACTGGTCTCGCGACACCTATTGTTTAATATGGTTTTATGTGGGTGAGCAGATGGCGACTACTGGATGGCATATGTTCTGTATCAGAAACTAGAGCTGATGTGGTCTATCCAATGCAATTTTCTGAATCAGCACCCCAAATAACCAAACCAAATCAAAAGTTGACCAAAAACTGATTCATAACCCTAATGTTAGAGAGTGGTCCCTGATCCAAAAGAAAAGGCTGGGAACCACTGTTTTACATTAACATATACCTACACAAACAATTATGAAGCAATACAGGGAATAAAACAAAGTCTAAGAAATTAACAAGCAGTATGGAAAGCATACAACCAGGACACAACCACAACTGCATACTCTGCCTCATGCATGATACACAGCAACACAACTGGCCATCTGCAAGGACGTTGCCTAAGGGACACCCTGATGTTTTGATGTTTTACCCATCTTTGTGGGAGCCTTCTCTCATGTCCCTGCATGGGGAGCTGGAGCTGACAGAGGGAGCTCATCTGCACTCTCCCCAGATTCGAACCTCCAACCTGTCGGTCTTCAGTCCTGCCAGAACAAGGGTTTAACCCATTGCACCACCGGGGGCTCCTGGACTCCTAATGAATAGCCCCCAATGGCCTTACCCTTCATGAGTTGGCCTAATTGTTTTTAAAAGTCACACAAATTGCAGCTGCCACTATGTCTTGTGGTAGAGAATTTGCTTTAGGTATTGTATTGTTGTATTATGTTTTGAGGCCTTGGCCTATATAAGCCACATCGAGTCCTTCGAGAGATGCTAGTGGGGTACAAATAAAGTTATAATAATAATAATAATAATAATAATAATAATAATAATAATAATAATAGAGAATTCCACAATGTAATCTATGTGCTTTGTGATTCAATGGGGTCACATCATGTGCCTTCAGGAACCGCAGACACATGTCAGAATGGAACACTGATGGCCTGTCCCTGTAATTTATTTATTTGTTTATTTATTTACACCATTTCTACCCTGCCCTTCTCACACACACCCGGGGGGGGGGGGGGGGGGGACTCAGGGCGGCTAACATGGGCAACAATTCAATGCCATAATATCAATACAACAATGTAAAATCAAATACATAGCAAATTAAAACAATAACATTAATTAAAATCACATACTCATATACTAACATAGTTGCCTAATCAAAATCACATATCCGTTTCCAATTGTCATAACAATCCTATGGTCCTGGTTCAGTGTCTAAAGTGCTGCTATGTCCACTAGCCGAAGGCCTGGCTCCAAAACCATGACTTTAGTTTTTTCTAAAAGTAAGGGGGGGGGGGAGACGCCGATCTAATCTCGCTGGGGAGCGAATTCCACAAGTAGGGGGCCACCACTGAGAAGGCCCTGTCCCTCATCCCCACCAGACACGTATATGACACCGGTCGGACTGAGAGCAGGGCCTCCCCAGTAGATCTTAAATTACGAAAATTTCATTTTCTTTTTCAGTAGATCTTAAATTACGAAAATTTCATTTTCTTTTTCAGTAGATCTTAAATTACGAAAATTTCATTTTCACAAGGATAAGTTCATTCCATGACTTCTCTCCATAATGTTCTTCTTGAGGAAGAGGGAACCCGATTGCTTCAGCATTCTTGGATCTCTTTGAGCTGAGGAATGCGTGTTTTCAAAGAGAAGAGTCCCTGCCACTTCATAGTCACCACCCACCAGATGTGAGCCGGCTTCCAGCACAGGGTTGTGAACATGTTGCTAATCTCCAATTTACTGCGAGGGCTGCTTGTCAGTCCCCAGGCTTGTGCTGGTGATGCTCCGAGCATATGCCAGAGGATTCTCCTGGGGACTATATCATCTCTCTTTTATTTTTCTCACTCTTAAAGCAAAGCTTGATGAAAGCCATAAGGGATGATGTCATTTACCAGGAAGGGAGAGTTCAAACAACATCGTGAACAACAACGGGACTTCAAAACATTATTTATATGCAGCCTGAGCTGGTTTCCAAATACTGTTTTGCTCAAATGTTTGCGGCTTGTGGTTTAAATTATTGTCAGCTCTAGCAGCCTAATAAAAAATATTGCAAAAAGGCCAAGAAGGCTACAACCAATTATGCAGAAAACATGCCTACTGAAGTGTGGTTAATATCCAGTTACTTCCTAAATCTGGAACCCCATGGACGCTGTAATGGATTTCTCCTTTGTAGCAAACAGTGCTTTGCTGTGGGTTTTTAAGAAACACTCAAAGGGAACTCCTTTCTGGGTCATTTGAAGGCATTTGAATTGAAGTACAAGACAACACACATGGTGGGAAAGAGTTTCCCATAGCCTCTCATCGCTACTGGAAAGAAGTCTGTATGGTGCACTGTTCTCTCCTCCCAACCTTCATTACTTCCTCGCAGCAACTGTCTCACTCTGCTTACGTCCTGATAGACCCAACACTGCTTCCTTGGCTGAAATTGTTTGACTTGGTACCTTTCTCAACAAGATGATCTGATCTCCCATGCCCACTACTGACCATATTTACATCCTCTGTATGTGGGTAGACATGTGGATGAGAATGGACAATCAAAGGATAGTGAGGAGGTTTCTCTTGGCCCCATCTACACTACCATACAACCCAGTTTCTGAATCCAAATTATCTGCTTTGAACTGGATTACATGGCAGTGTAGACTCATATAATCCAGTTCAAAGCAGATAATTCGGATTCAGAAACTGGAGTCTATGGCAGTGTAGATCCAGTCTCAGATTATTTATTTATTTATCGTGTCAGGAGTGATCCAAACTGTTGCTCTGCATTAAAAACAAACAAGCAGACAAACAAATCACAAAGTTTGCAAGCTTGGTAGTTGATTAAATGTCCTATGACCAGTAGCTGGCCACTTGGAGAGCCTCTGGTGTTGCTATAAGAAGGTCCTCCATTGTGCCTGTAGCCGGGCTCAGGTTGCATTGCAGCAGGTGGTCTGTGGTTTGCTCTTCTCCACACTCGCATGTTGTGGATTCCACCTTGTAGCCCCATTTCTTAAGGTTGGCTCTGCATCTCGTGCTCAGTGCCTTCCAAGTTGCCCAGTTTTCTGTGTGCCCAGGAGGGAGTCTCTCATTTGGTATCAGCCACTGATTGAGGTTCTGGGTTTTAGCCTGCCACTTTTGGATTCTAGATTGTTGAGATGTTCCAGCAAGTGTCTCTGTAGACTTTAGAAAACTATTTCTTGATTTAAGTAGTTGGCGTACTGGCTGATACCCAAATAGGGCGTGGGCTGGAGATGTCGTTGCCTTGGTCCTTTCACAATTGGTTCCTACTTCCCGGCAGATGTCAGGTGGTGCAATACTGCCTAACAGTGTAATTTCTCCAGTGGTGTCAGGTGCAGATACCCCATGATAATGCAGCATGTCTCATTAAGAGCCACATCCACTGTTTTAGCGTGGTGAGATGTGATCCACACTGGGCAGCAGAGCAGCATAGCGCAAGGGCAGATGTCTTCACTGTATCTGGTTGTGATCCCCAGGTTGTGCCAGTCAGCTTTCATATGATATTGTTTCTAGCGCCCAATTTTTGCTTGATATTCAGGCAGTGCTTCTTGTAGGTCAGAGCACAGTCCAGAGAGACTCCCAGGTATTTTGGTGCGCTGCAATGCTCCAGTAGGATTCCTTCCCAGGTAATCCTCAGAGCTCAGGATGCTAGCCTCAGGTTGAACAACCAATTTGTTCTGTCTGAGATGGTGGACCCTTACTGAACCTTTGGTATCACCTGATGTCTAGATGACAGCATTGCAGCTCTCTGTAGAGATGCTGAAGCTGAACTTGCTTTTCTAAACAAGGCACTTTTGTGGTTCCATCCTTTCCTTTATTTATTTCGCATGACACTTGGACTTGTTTTGAGATTACCAGAAGGTGGCCTTTACATTTATTGGCTCTCTTCAGAGTTCCATTCCAAGTGAGATTAACAACAACAATATTTATTACGGTCCACAGACCCATCAGTAAACAAGCAGTCATTTATAAATTCTCCCATCTTAGGAGAAGTTCATTGTACCAGATACATCTACATGGTTTCAAGCAATATCCCTATCAGGGGTTTGTTTCTTTCTCAACCTTGTTACCACTGTGAGGAATTTTACCACTGTGAGAGTCACCCTGTGAGGATGGCTGGTCATGTGAAACATAATTGGATATAGAAGTTGGCTACATTGTGTTGTATAATAGCAGCACTGCAATAAAATGTGGTCTATTGTTTCTACTTCATTTCCTTCACAGGAGCATAGTCTTTGGGAGAAAGGAATTCAAGACAATCTGCCTCTTAGCAGCTCTGTGGGAAATACATTTAGTTTTGCCTTTGTAAAGAATCAATCTGTGTTATTTAATCACTGTAAGGCTTTTTAAATATTCTCATGTCTTAAATGGCTCTCTGCATGGTAGGTTTAGGACTCTGGGGGAGCAAGGTGAGTTTGAGCAGACACTAAGCTCTCCCACAACCCTTGCTTCAGGGATTCTTGTGCCATTTTGAATCCCAAATGGAGCAAAAAGGGATGTGGATAGTCCAGTTGAGGCCACTTTCCATTCAATCCTCCTACCTCAGAGTGGTTTGGAGGCTTCATAAGGGAGGTGATGTAGTAGTAAACCTGTTCCCAGTTTGAACATCATTGTTCCAAATGAGATTAGGCACAGACCTACAGTATTCCATTTCCGTTTTGCTGAAGACTTCTCATTCAATGTACACATTTTCTGATTAATTAACTGATGTTTGGCTATACTGAGTAACATCGTATTTTCTACTGCAGCTTATCCACGGCCCGGAACAGAAGGGAGGAGAGTTGGGAGTCTGCTTGTACAAGCAGAGAACATAGATCAAGGCAAAGCTGAACCAACTTCAAGTCATCCTCAGAGTTCAAAAACAGTTTGCACAGCTTAGTAATTAGAAGCAGCCATTATTACAAAAGCCACACCAAGCGCTACCAGAAGAAAACAAACTCAGCTGAAGCGGTGGTGGCGGCGGTGGGGGGGGGGGGGGGTTGAGGGATACAAAGTGCAAACAGAAAAGTAGAGCTTACATAAAAAAAAATCCTAAAAACAAGTCTTATTGTTTTCCTCTCTTAAGAATGAACCCACCAAAGCAACCTAACAAACCCAGAGCAGTTTCTTAATGGGGGCAATTCCAGATGTTGCATTTGAACCAAACAACAAGGCTTCTGGCAAAACCTCAGTAAGGGGTCTGGACACTTTCATCACTATCAGGATTTTATGAAATTACTATATTTGGGCTTGCTATCTGTCCTTCTATTCAAAAACAGGGAGCAGCACAAAATGTGGCAGTGTGGAGTATGCCTCTGTTCAGGGTTCCACCCATTGGACACTATTCTCCTTTGCCTCTGCTGTTCTGTTACTACGCATTCCCCCATTCAGCAACCCATATAGGTTGGAATACAATTAGAGAATTGAGATAGGATAACTAAGGGTAAGTTACCAGACGCTTTTTTGGATGTTGTGCAAGGAAGTATCCAGTACCCGGTGGCTTGTCTTCCAGAACCTCGTTGTGCATTTTTTCCCTTGTTTGTGCAATAACAATCAGACAGCATCCAGATTGAGCTCCATTTCCAAGATTCAATCAGCCAATTGAGTCCCCCCTAGGGGGTTGAGAAGGGCGGGGTAGAAATGCTCGAAATAAATAAACAAAATTGAGCAGTGGGCATGGAATTGTGTCTGGAGAGCTCTCTCTCATGATGTTGACAACTTGCTCCTACCAGTCTCCTGACCTTCAGGGTTCGGTACATTGTCAATACACCTCCAGTGACTCACCCAGTCACTCTGTCTTCATTCATAGAATCATAGAGTTGGAAGAGTTGACATGGGCCATCCAATCTACCTTTTGCCATGCAGGAAAAGCACAATCAAAGCACCCCTGACAGATGGCCATCTAGAGAAAATATCTTCCAACCCCATCCAAATATCTTCTAACCCTGTAAACATCACATGGCCTTTGGATATTAGTCAATTCAAAGTGCTGGCGTTGGCCTTTAAAGCCCTAAACGGTTCTGGCCCAACTTACCTATCCGAACGTATCTCGGCCTATCAGCCCACCAGGACCCTAAGATCTTCTGGGGGGGGCCCTACTCTCTATCCCGCCTGCTTCACAGGTGCGGCTGGCGGGGACGAGAGACAGGGCCTTTTCTGTGGTGGCCCCGCGGCTATGGAACGCCCTTCCCATGGAGGTAAGATCAGCTCCCTCATTGATGGTATTCAGGAAAAGACTAAAAACGTGGATGTTCGAGCAGGCGTTCGGTTAACTCAGTGCAATAAGTGTAATGATTGAAGGACTGGCAATCTGGACGACGAAACTGGATCACGATTTTAGTCAAGAGATGAATTGGATTGTTTATTGATATATGTATTGTGGATTATGTTTTTATGCTTTTAAACTGTATACTGTTGTTTGTTATGGGTTGTTGTAAACCGCGTTGAGTCGCCGGCTAGGCTGAGGAACGGCGGTATACAAGTATAGCAAATAAAAATAAATAAATACTTTAGGTATCAGAACATGATCAGTGCTAATAGCCCTGTTTGTATATGGGGAGTACCACAAAAGAATGGAGAATAGCATTTATGACCATAAATGGAAATATCTTTCCTCCACAATACATATAGAAGTGGAATCATAATAAACATCATGTGAATTTTGGAGGCATTTGATGGGATTCACTCAACAAAACGGAGCCCCCGGTGGTGTAATGGCTTAAACCAGTAGTTCTCAACTTGGGGTCCCCAGATGTTTTTGGCCTAAAACTCCTAGAAATCCCAGCCAGTTTACCAGCTGTTAGGATTTCTGGGAGTTGAAGGCCAAAAACATCTGGGGACCCCAGGTTGAGAACCACTGGGTTAAACCATTGTGCCGGCAAAACTGAAGACTAACAGGCCGGAGGTTCAAATCCAGGGAGTGAGCAGATGAGCTCCATCTGTCAGCTCCAGCTCCCCTTGCGGGGACATGAGAGAAGCCTCCCATGAGGATGGTAAAAATCAAAACATCTGGGCGTCCCCTGGGCAAAATCCTTGCAGACAGCCAATTCTCTCACACCAGAAGCAACTTGCAGCTTTTCAAGTCACTCCTGGCATGGAAAAAAAAACTCAACGAAACATCTGGGACCATTTGTAGAAAACAATGCAAAACACTTTTGGTTCTGCAAGAAAAGTACTACAGAGATGGCAGAGGAGTGGTGCACCAATCCATACTCACCATGATTTTTTATTGGAGGTTCCCACACAAATGTGCTGGGCAGGGACCGTCTGCCACTTCTTCGCTTCGACCACGAGAGCTTCTGCATCCACCAGGCCAAACCCATACAAATGGCTAACTGGAAAGACAGGTGTCTCAGAGATTCACTGGTTTATTAAAGGACTGTTATTCACAAGCTAGAGACAAGACAGGTTTGAAACCATAACTGTTAACAGTTTCTTTTTATGCACAAACCCCACAGATTCCTGATCTTAATCCATCTCCTCCCTACTCATGGATGCTTCAGCTCCTTCTTCTGTACAGCTTTGTATAATAAAAATATACTTTACTGTGAAAGAAAGAAAGAAAGAAAGAAAGAAAGAAAGAAAAGGAATGGAAAGAAAAGAAAAGAAAAGGAAGGGAAGGGAAGGGAGGAAGGAAGGGGAAGACAGGAAAGAAGGGAGGGAGGGAGAGAGGAAAAAGGAAAGAAAGAAAGTAAAGGAAGGAAGGAAGGAAGGAAGGAAGGAAGGAGGAAAAAAAGGAGAGAAGGAAAGAAACAAACAAAGAAAGAAGGAAGGAAGAAAAGAAGGAAAGAAAGGAAGGAAAGAAAGGAAGGAAAGAAAGGAAGAAAATTATATTTTAAAATTATGTTGCTTTGCTTCTTGGTTTCCAGCAGCCCAAACTCCTCAAAAACTAGCAAATATGAAACTGGCTAACCTATTCTCCATCTCATAAGAAAGATTCTTTTTTGAAATAGCAGTTCCCCTTTTATAGTGTCCTCAAAAAAAGTACATCCTGGTGTCGGGCACTTCTGTTTGCAGGGGCAAACACCACAATTTCTGGCCCTGAACAGAACAGTTGATATGAGTCATCCTCTATATTCATTTGAGTCTATGGCAAAAGCTGAGACTGGGCCATATCCACAGCATGCAGCTGAAGTTTGCCCTTGCTGTGTATTTGAAATGTTTCTTATATTAAAACATAATCCACTGTTATCAGTAATGAAAATGGCACAGAAAAGTCAAAGCTGACATTTGTAATGCTCTTCCTTTGGTGTGTGTGTAACACACACACACACCTATACCTTTATATCCAATTTTAAGTATAGCATTACTTTAAGGTGGTGATGGGGAATCCAGGAAATACAGGATTTTTTTTTCAGACACAGTGAAAGGTTTTACTGAAAAGATTATTGAAAGGAAAACATAGGAGACAGAATTTAATTCTGACTGGGTTTGTTCTGCATCTTGAGAATGCTTTGGCACATCTAGCAAACAGAGGTAGAGAAATGGCAAAGATACAGAATGCAGCACGCCTGGCTAGACAGCAGTACGTGTGAAAAAGATCTTGGGAATCTTCGTGGGCAGGAGGGTGAACATGAGCCAAGAATGGGATGCGGCAGCTAGAAAAGCCAATGGGATTTTGGGCTGCATAAACAGGAGTCCAATATCTAGATCCAGGGAAGTCATGCTACCACTCCATTCTGCCTTGGTCAGACCACACCTGGAATCACACTGTGCCCCATTCTGGGCACCGCAATTGAAGGCAGATGTTGACAAGCAAGAATGTGTCCAAATGATCAAAGACCTGGAGAACAAGCCCTATGAAGAGCGGCTTAAAGAGCTGAGCATGTTTATCCTGCATAAGGGAAGGCTGAGAGGATACATGATGAGGGCCATGGATCAAGATGTGAGGGGCAGGAGGGAGCAGGCTTAATTTCTGCTGCCCTGGAGACTAGGACGCAGAACAGTGGCTTCAAACTACAGGAAGGAGATTCCACCTGAACATTAGGAAGAACTTCCTAACTGTGAGCACTGTTCAGGAGTGGAACTCTCTGCCTCAGAGTGTGGTGGAGGTTCCTTCTTTGGAGGCTTTTAAGCAGAGGCTGAATGGCCATCTGTCAGGGATGCTTTGAATGCAATTTTCCTGCTTCTTGGCAGGGAGTTGGCCGATGAGTTTCTTCCAACTAGGATTCTATGATTCTAAGACAGGGGTACTCAAACTAAGGTCCGAGGGCCTGATACGGCCCTCCAAGGTAATTTACTCAGCCCTCGCTCAGTCAACCTAAGTCTGAAATGACTTGAAAGCACACAGCAACAACAACAACAACAACAACAATCCTATGTCATCAGCCAAAAGCAGCCCACACTTCCCACTAAAATACTAATAAGTTTATATTTGTTAAAATTGTTCTTCATTTTAATTATTGTATTGTTTTTAAGTGTTTTTTTGCACTACAAATAAGATATGTGCAGTGAGCATAGGAATTCATTCATTTTTTTTTCAAATTACAATCCAGCCCTCCTACAGTTTGAGGGACTGTGACCTGGCCCTCTGTTTAAGAAGTTTGAGGACCCTGGTCTAAGAGAAGGAAGAAATTCTTGGATTAAGGCAGCATTCTCCTTTAGTAAGTTTTCTCGAAATACTATTTTCTTTTGCATATTTCACAGAGCTACAATTGGCCCTACTACTGGATGCTGGATTCTACGTATTGCAATCAAAGCGCAGCTCTTCCAAGCTCCAATATTTGCCACCACTTGGGATTTGCTTGCTGAAACAGGAACTCCTAAATGCGCGCTGATAGAAACGGCTTCTAAGAGGATTATCAGAGCACAGAACAGCCAATACTAATTTTCTTCGGCAGGTCCGCAGGGCAAGTAATAGAAAGAGCTGCTTACGAACCTCCCAGCTCAGAAGACTGGTAGATATTGATTTGGGCTTTTAAACCCTAGGAACACTACATTGGGAGATGGATTCCTCATACTGAGAAATCTCTGAAGGCTTTCACAGTTCTTTCACCTAGGAGTGAAAAACCCCTGAAAAAAAAATAAACACTGGATTCATCAGTCAAACAAACCTGACCAAGGGTGCACTTCCACTGCAGAACTAATGCAGTTTGTATCACTTTACCTGCCATGGCTCAATGCTATGAAATCACGAGAGTTGTAGTTTGGCAAGGACTTGAGCCTTCTCTTCCAAAGAATGCTCATGCCTTTTGGACTACACAGCATTGAACCATAGCTATTAAAGTGGTATCAAACTGCATTAATTCTACAGTGGAAACGCACCCTCAACCCCTTTCCTCACTACCAGCCGTTCTTTCTTGCATGTTGTGGTAAACGTGAGTACAGGCAATTCTTGTATTAATAAGCTTTTTTGGCTAAAGGATGCTCTATAGATAAGACAGACAGACAGACAGATAGATATGGACTGGATCTAGATAGATGGATGATTGATAGATAGATAGATAGATAGATAGATAGATACATACATACATACATACACAAGACAGATAGATACGTAAGATAGATACGTAAGATAGATAGATAGATAGATAGATAGATAGATAGATAGATAGATAGAGAGAGAGAGACTGGATCTAGATGAATGGATAGATAGATATGTAAGATAGATAGATACATAAGATAGATACATACATAGATAGATAGATAGATAGATAGATAGATAGATAGATAGATAGATAGATAGCAAGCTATGGACTAGATCTAGATAGATAGATGGATGATAGATACGTAAGATAGATAGATACGTAAGATAGATAGATACGTAAGATAGATAGATAGACAGATAAGATAGATTAGACAGACAGATAGATAGATAGATAGATAGATAGATAGATAGATAGAGACTGATAGGTAGATATGGACTGGATCTAGATAGATGGATGATAGATAGATACATAAGATAGATAGATAGATAGATAGATAGATAGATAGATAGATACATACATACATACATACATACATACATACATACATACATACATACACAAGACAGATAGATACGTAAGATAGATAGATACGTAAGATAGATATGTAAGATAGATAGATAGATAGATAGATAGATAGATAGATAGATAGAGAGACTGGATCTAGATGGATGGATGGATAGATAGATATGTAAGATAGATAGATAGATAGATAGATAGATAGATAGATAGATAGATAGATAGATAGATAGATAGATAGCAWASTATYGARMAMAMKTAGKAAYKTAGATGGARMAMAMKTACGWAAGATAGATYGATAGATAGATASYTAGATAGATAGATAGATAGATAGATAGATGATAGATAGATAGATGATAGATAGACAGATAAGATAGATTAGATATAGYTAGATAGATAGATAGATAGATAGATAGATAGATAGATAGARAGACAGACAGACAGACAGACAGACAGACAGGATATAGATAGGTAGATAATGCTAGCTAATAGCAAAGGCAGTTTTTGTTTGGGAAGTGGGAAAAAAGACAACTTATTTTCTATATGGTACAAGCATCTCTAGTGATTTCTATAAACCTCTGTACTTGCAGTTATCACCTCTCCTCTCTCTTTTTGGTAGATATTATTTCCTTAGAGAAATCTTCTTTTCAGTTTATTGGAAACCTGCACCCAGCCAAATAAATATCATTTCGTATTGGCTCACCTCGACGTCCAGCTCCATTCGTTTTCCAGTCTGGGGCCAAAAGGTGTGCGGGCCGCGATGTTTTAATGAGCAAGTGCTGGACATCTCGCCAGGTCAGCAAAGGGCTAAAGACGACCAAAGGAAGAACAGATCGAATGGTAGATAAACAGATATAATTTCAAAAGACAGAAAGTCTTGGCAATATTACTGATGGGGCTTTCAAATGATAGACCAGACAATGTGTAAAACAAATAAACACACCAAAAAAGCCCTCATGCAGTCCTTCATCCCATTCCTGTGGGCCTTAAAGCTTAGGGTCAATCATTCTAGGGAGGCATCGACCCAGTAGAATTAATACAATGTGATGACATTCTAGCTACCTATACTCAATGATAAAGGAAACTGAGAGTTATAACTTTGCAATGCCTTTAGCTTTTTCTACCAAAGAGGAATGGTGCCTCACCAAATTACATCTCCTAGAACTTGATAGCATTGAGCTATGGCAATTGGGCTGTGGTTGCACAGTGGGTTAAATCGCCAACTGCAGAAAATCTTGCCACAGGTTGGGGTGAGCTCCCATTATCAGCCCTAGCTCCTGCCTACCTAGCAGTTCAAAAACAAAAATGTAAGTAGATCAATAGGTACCGTTTTGGCAGGGAGGAAAAATACATTCTGGCAATTTGATCAAATCGGACAACAAACTCCTCGGCAAGAAAAATGGAACAAGAGCACCTCCCCATGGCCGGAGGTCTCCAGATGCTGGAGATGGAAAGGGGGAAGCCTTTGCCTCTGTCTGTGTACTGTCTGTCTTTGTTATTAGTTGTATAATGGTATTGAATGTTTTCCATATATATATTCTGTAATCTGCTCTGAGTCCCCTCGAAGAGATATATAAATAAAATATATTTTTATGATTATTATGGCAGTTAAAGTGGGGTCAAACGGCATTAATTCAATGGTGTATATAGAAGTGGAGGAATGGATTGTGAAAATGGCGGAAGTGGCTGAGATGGACATTCTTACGGGACACCTTCAGACAAAAGACGTTTCAGAGTTTGGGAAGAACTGGGAACCCTGTAAAAGGTTTCTAGAAGGAAACATTTTAAAGGGTTCAACGTAACAGCTGGTAGGCTGTTGGGAATTGTGGGAGTTGAAGTCCAAAACACCCAGAGGGCCGAAGTTTGCCCATGCCTGATCTAGAGCCTAGATTTACACTCAGTAGAAACCACCCTCCTTAAAATGACTCACAGACCATTCATACAGTTGACTTATCATCTGACACCACTTTAACTGCCATAGTTAATTAATATGGAATCCTGGGATTTGCAGTTTGCTGTGGGACCAGGATTATCTGATAGAGAAGGGGGGATATCTCATAAAGCTGCAAATCCCAGAATTCTATAGCATTGGTAGATAATGTGGTGTCAAACGGTTATCATTCTGCAGTGCAGATACCGTTTTTGACTATAAGCGTAAACAGCTGTGCTCTCTAGGGAACTATAACTCCCACAAAACCGAAGTGTGCCAGGTTAGGCTGGGATGTCCTCAGCTGCCAGAAAGAAGCTTTATAAACCTCAGTTTTTGCCCCAAAAGTGTTCTTCAAAGCATCTGAAGCGTCGATTTCCATAATTATATCAAGCATTTAGCAACCAAAAAGCAAAACAAAGCTCAATTCATGTTCTCTCTCGCAATAAAAACTAAACATCAGAGGGCTCAGCATCAGTTAATGTGCTTGGTCCCGGGTACTTAATGGTGCGTTTTATGTCAAAGAGCGAAACAATGCTCCAAATTTACAGGCCTAACTTTCCCCAATTTATTTGTAATGAACGCCGTGCTCTTTTGAAACAGCGCTCGCACAACACGTCTTTTTAAAATGGAGCCAATCTATCTCGAAATGTGGAAAGGGTGGGTGGGCGGGTGGGCAGGGGTGAGCAGCCAGTTTGCTTCATCCTGGCAAGACATTTCCATGTCTTCAGTCACAATAATGTAAGAAATTAACTGTCTCTGCCGCTGCGCATTCACAGCAGCCAACGATATATTGGCAACGAGAGCCACAGTCGCAGCATGGGAGCATTAAAAGCAGCCGGCAGTCTGGGTTGCATTTCCTCCCCGCTCTTCCTCATTCTAAGTATAAACATGGCAAAGAGGAGTCTGAGGGTAAATTCGTATTTTGGGATTAATGCAGTTTGAAACTATGGTTCGATGCTATAGAACAGGCATGGGCAAACTTAGGCCCTCCAGGTGTTTTGGACTTTAACTCCCACAATTCCTAACAGCCGGTAGGCTGTTAGGAATTGTGGGAGTTGAAGTCCAAAACACCTGGAGGGCTGCAGTTAGTCCATGCTTGCTATAGAAGAATGAGAGTTGTTGCTTTACAAGATCTTCTTCTGCAAAAGTGTTTGGTTCCCCAGCAAACTACAACTCCCAAGATTCCATCGCATTGAGCCAAGGCAGGTAAAGTGGTGTCAAACTGCATTCATTCTCCATTGGCAACAGACTCTGGGACTATGACCTCTACTACACTGCTGTATACAATCCAGATGATCTGCTTTAAACTTGATTATATGGCAGTGTAGACTCAGATAATCCCGCTCAAAGCAGATTTTATTTATTTATTTATCGTGTCAGGAGCAACCAGACATTTGTTTTACATTTTTAACAAAACAAACAAACAGACAAAACACAAAGTTTGCAAGCTTGGTAGTTGATTAAATGTCCTTTGACCAGTATCTGGCCACTTGGAGTGCTACATGACTTGATATTCTGGATTATATAGCGTGACATGAAAGGAAAGGAAATATATTTGCACAATGTATTGAAATGTAACTAAAGCACTATCATTCCCCTTTAAATGTCTTGGCTGCATCTCGGGACATCCTGGAGATTTGTAGTTTAGTGAGGCATTATAATTTTCTGGCAGAAATTGTATATGGCATTCTCCTTGGGACATAACAGGTCAACACTCTGACACAGGCTGGATCTACACTGTCCTATATCCCAGGATCTGATCCCAGATTATCTGACAGTAGACTCAGGCCCCTTCTACACTGGCATATAATCCAGACTATCAAAGCAGATAATCTACATTATTTGTTTTGAACTGGATTATATGAGTCTACACTGCCATTTAATCCAGTTCAAAGCAGATCGGATCCTGGGATATAGGGCACTGTAGATCTAAGCACAGAGACCTTTGGGAGTTCTCAGGCCCTTTCTAAATTGTTATATAACCCAGTTTCTCACCCCAGATTATCTGCTTTGAACGGAGCCCCCGGTGACGCAGCGGGTTAAACCCCTGTGCTGGCAGGACTGAAGACCGACAGATCGCAGGTTCAAATCCAGGGAGAGGCAGATTAGCTCCCTCTATCAACTCCAGCTCCTCATACGGGGACATGAGAGAAGCCTCCCACAAGGCGTCCAGGCGTCCCCCAGGCAACGTCCTTGCAGACGGCCAATTCTCTCACACCAGAAGCAACTTGCAGTTTCTCAAGTCACTCCTGACACAACAAAAAAAACCTGCTTTGAACTAGATAATCTAATCCATGAGTCTACACTGCCACATAATCCAGTTCAAAGCAGATCAGATCCTGAGATATAGGGCAGTTTAGATCTAGCCACAGAGACCTTTGGGAGTTCTCAGGCCCTTTCCAAATTGGTATATAATCCAGTTTCTGACCCCAGATTATCTGCTTTGAACTAGATAATCTGAGTCTACACTGCTATATAATCCAGTTCAAAGCAGAGAGTTTGGTATCAGATTCTGGATGATATGACAGTATAGATCCAGCTTCAGGGCTCTTCTAAATTGCCATATAAAATCCAGATTATCTGCTTTGAACTTGATTATATGGCTGTGTAGACTCAGGTAATCCAGTTCAAAGCAGATAATGTGGATTTTCTGCTTTGATAATCTGGTTTATATGGCAGTGCAGAAGGGGCCTGGTACACAATGGGGCAATGAATTCAAATGGTACGAATGAGAGTCCATCTAAACATGGGGAGGAACTTCCTGACTTTTTTTTTTTGTCGTGTTGGGAACGACTTGAGAAACTGCAAGTCGCTTCTGGTGTGAGAGAATTGGCCGTCTGCAAGGACGTTGTCTAGGGGATGCCCAGATGTTTTTGATGTTTTATCATCCCGGCGGAAGGCTTCTCTCATGTCCCCCCATTAGGAGCTGGAGTTGATAGAAGGAGCTCATCTGCGCTCTCTCCAGATTCCAACCTGCGACCTGTCGGTCTTCAGTCCTGCTGGCACAGGGAACGGTAAGAACTGTTCAACATTATAATACACCACAAAAGTGACAGAAATGATCATTACTAGTCATGATACTGCTGTCCTCAGGTACCAAAGGCACCAATACTAGAAATCAGGCAACAAGAAAAGGAGGCTGCTAATGCACTCAAGTTCTGTTTGTGGGATTTCCCAAAGGCATCTGGTTTGCGATGGTGGAAAACAGGATGTTGAATGAATAAAGCTTTAGCTTAATCTAGCATGTCTTCTTTTATGAGGCTGCTTAAAAGCGAGCATTTATGCCGGGACATACAGGAAGGAGCCTAGTTGTCCATGTCATGCAGTTGCATCCAATTAAAAGGAATTTAGTCCATGAAAGCTTTTCCCACTAGTAATCTGTTTTAAGTTTTTAAAACATTTGCATTTGCTACCCTTTAAGAATTGATCCTTCGTTGATTTGTTTAAAAAAAAAACAAACAAAAATAAAAACAAAACTGGGGACATTTTGTAGAAGTGTTTGGCATAACTTTTTGAACAGTTGTGCTAATAGATACATTCGTCTCTTCCCTTTCCTTGCATCTCTAGAAGTCTATTCATAGAATCATAGAATCAAAGAGTTGGAAGAGACCTCATGGGCCATCCAGTCCAACCCCCTGCCAAGAAGCAGGAATATTGCATTCAAATCACCCCTGACAGATGGCCATCCAGCCTCTGTTTAAAAGCTTCCAAAGAAGGAGCCTCCACCACACTCCGGGGCAGAGAGTTCCACTGCTGAACGGCTCTCACAGTCAGGAAGTTCTTCCTCATGTTCAGATGGAATCTCCTCTCTTGTAGTTTGAAGCCATTGTTCCGCGTCCTAGTCTCCAAGGAAGCAGAAAACAAGCGTGCTCCCTCC